GGGGGGGGGGTTAGGAGCGTAGGGTTTAGCGGCTCAAGTTGTGCATCGGACCCGTCCTGCCTAAGCATGTGGGGAGTAATATGGGGGCCCTTAATAATTAGAATAGGCTTTCGGGCTATATGAATTAAACTATAACTACAGTAAGGATCCCCCCAAAATAGTATTGGTAAGTGTTAAGGCCCCTGTTTTCATGATCATTGGGATCCAACTTGCCTCTCTTCTTCAACAACCAGGCCCAAAAAAGTTCAAAATTTTGTTAGGATAGAGCCAATAGATAAGGCCAAAAAGCTTAAAGTTCTCCTATTGGCTCTCTAAGTTGCCTGTGAGATAGAACCCTAAACCCTAAACCCTAGACCTTAAGCCCTAAGCCCTAAACCCCTGCCTGTGAGATAGAAGGCCGAACCTGCGGACATGAAGAGCAGCCCTCCGGCAGCCATCACACGCGGGCACGGCAGGTGGAAGCGCTCCATCATCTTCGTCTCGGGGGTTTCTGTCATGCTGTATAGCTTTGGGCTTATAGCTATAAATAAATAAATAAAATATAAAAAAATATGTATATATATATATATGTATGACTGGTACAGGGTTTTACACTTCGTGCTTACACAGGGGTTTCAATAGCGTTTATCCTGGGTTTTGTGTGCTGTTCATAACTCTGTTGTAGTTTTGCTTATGAATAATTAGGTACCTCTATAGAAGGCATAGAGGAAATGTTGAAGTTTCCCAAATTGCTACGTAGTAAAGTCTGGTTTGTTCACGTCATGCCAATCGGCTCGAATGCTTCATTGGCTCAGGGTGTAAGGTTCGTAGAGGGGTAGTTCTCTAAAGTAGGGTCCCTTTTAGGGTGCTTTTTGTAAGGGCGCCGTACTTTATTGGGCACTTATAGAGGGGCCCGAATTTCGAGAACTACCCCAAACCCCAAACCCTAAACCCCTAAACCCGTAAACCCTAAACCTCTAAACCCCTAATCCCCTAAACCCTAAACCCCTAAACCCTACCCAGATAGTCCGGATCGTTCAAGCTTAGGGCCGTAGGTTGGCCGGGCCTCAGTTTTATATTTAATTTAGGGTTTAGGGGTTTAGGGTAGGGTTTAGGGCTTTAGGGTTTAGGGTTTATGGTTTAGGGTAGGGTTTAGGGTTTAGGGTAGGGTTTAGGGTTTAGGGTTTTATGGTTTACGGTTTAGCACATTTTGGTTCACACTGCTCAGATTGGGTTTAGGGTGTAGTGGTTTAGGGTTACCCGGTTTAGGGGTTCGAACAAATACATTAAAGTGTCAGCGTGCACGCGACAGACTGCATCAGTCAAGACAAGGAGCAAAGGTGTCGAAGTCCTGATCAGCTCGGAAGATATGGGTAGTTGTCTAGATTAAGGTCCTTTTTTAGGCCCCCAATATAGTACGGTACCTTTACGAAAAGGACCCCTAAAAAGGGCCGTACTTTAGAGAACCATCCATATAGGATTCTAGCATCTTGGTGGGCAACAGTATGCTGCGTCAGCTCTGGGGGGGCCGGAAGCAATATTGCTAAACCCCAAACCCCGCTCCGCGTCCTTCAGGAACCTGATGAAGTTGATCACATAGATTGATACCTCTCTTCTTCAGCAACCAGGGCCCAAAAAAGTTCAACCCTTTTAGTATAGACCTAATATATAAAGCCAAAAAGTTTAAAGTTCTCCCATTGGCTATCTAAGATACAAAGAGGGCGCTGCCAAAAGAGGTGATGAGCCAGACCTGAACTTGCTGTTCCGGCTAAAGACCCCTAAAGCCTCTGTATGTAGACACCCTCCTACACCCTAACCCTCAAACCCTACTTCGAGGATCATGGGACTTAGTAACTAGGGTTATAAATAAGGTAACTATAGTTATAACCCCAATTAGGTACTTAAGACCTTACTTACTAAGTCCCATGATCCTCCAAGTAAACCGGCTTCTCCAAGCCGCATAGGGGGCGAGGAGAGTGTCAACCCAGCGCACGGCCACTGCAAAATCAGGAGGCGATCTGGAGGCCAACAGCACCGGTCCAGAGGCACCTTAGTCTCCCTGGTTCTTGGGAGGGGAAGTGGAGAGCGAATCCCTATGATCGTCCTCTAAAGTCCCTACTCGTAGTCCCTATAATCCTAAACCCAAGAGCGTTATAGTAGTCTAGGTAACCCTGAACACCAAAGCCTTATAGTAGTCCCCGCAACCCATCTCCCATTCCCTACTAAGAGACAGGGATTAGCCTGAGCTACCCATGCACCTCCAAGTGACCTGCTGCGAGCTCGGGTGCGATCAGCATGGGGAGTTGAGCTGCAGAGGTAACGAGGCTGGTCAATGCCAAGCCCTGCAGCACCTGTCACGGTTCAGGGGAAAACTTCGCGGTTTAGGGTTTAGGGTTTAGGGGCATGGCGTCTATCTAGGCACTAAGCCCACGAACCCTACTGCCTCAACCGTCAACCCCCAGGGAATGGGACGGCTCCGTCAACCAGCTGTTAGAGAAGCACGATGGAAAACGCCGAGACAAAGTCAGCAATCCTAGGCCCCTAAACCCTTAAAGGGTGTAGGGTTTTAGGAGTTGGGCGTGGCGTTTCGGGTCTTCTGGGGCTAAGATGACTTCGGGATGTACGAGCAGGATGCAAGATTTGGTGCTTCAGGGTCTTGTTTGCTGGACATTTAAAATGCGCTTCCTAAATCCTAAACCATATAGACCCGAAGCCCTAAACCCTAA